GTTTTCACATATCCTTAATTTTTGTCTCAATTTTTTCTTCTAAAAAAATCACTATCTTTAAATGTACTTCCTCCATTTTCAAATAAGTGCCAACATGTTGAATTTTTACACTATTCACATTTTTTACTTTGATTACATTTTATTAATGTATTAATAATTTAATTTTATAAAAATATAGTTAGATTTATCTCATCGTAAAAAGTTGTGTGTTGGCAAACGTGAAAAGTTGACTTTACACGTATTTATGAACGAAAATAGTATATATCATCACACACGCATTTATCTTAATTCATCTATCTCACTATCTTTATTTAATTTTATCTTTTTCTATTTCATTAAATTTTTCGCATACAATGTTCGACAATATTTGGATAGTTATATACTTTTTCATTCATCTTTATATAGAATATTGTTCTTATTCTGTATTTTTTAAAACATTGTTCGATACTAGATTTGATTTTTTTATTTTGAATAAACAACATCTTTAGAGCCCGTTTGGTACTATGTTTTTTCAGTTTATCAAGTGTATATATCAACTTTTAATCAAATACGTAACTTTTGATTTCACGCGCTGCTTGTATAATAATAATAACATAAAGTAAGATTGAAGTTACTCTTCTGATTATATTGGACTATTGGCTGAAATTACTGTTAATGATCATTTTAGCTTTTTTTTCTCATTTATTTATTTCTCTATTTTATTAATAAAGTATATTTTAAATATAATTTTTTTGTAAATCTGCAGAATCAGCCACTTCAACCAGAATATCATAAATTTCAGCAGAATAAGTCGATTCATCAGATTTCAGTGTTTCTCAACGGACTTTTAATACTAGTGAACTAACCCGTCTTCTATTTGTAAATGACATTTATAACGTTTTTAATTGCACTAATTTCGATCTCAAATTAGCCTAGGTGTAAACAAACCAAACCATATCAGAGTAGAACATATTAGATCGAACCTAATTGGACATGAACAATTTTAAAATGCAAATTTACTAGCCATTTATCACACTTAAATTGTCCTTATCAGGATAATTTTATTTTAAAATTTTTTATAGATGTATATTGGTATCATATTAAAAATCATAAAAAAATACTTAAGTTGATTTTTTTAGTGGAACATATGTTTTGTTAAAATAGGAACACACATGAAATGGTTATAATGTTTTACAAAAATAACAATTATTTGCTTGAAAACTACTGGATGGAGCATAAATTTTAAAATTGATTGGAATCCATACTGCATTGGCGTGAATGCGTGATCAAACTCGTATTAGCGTGAAGTTAGTTTGATTTGGGTTAAGGAAGCCCCTCACACAGAACATATGCAGTGGCAACCCAAGACCGGATTCTCCAAGGACCAGACCCAGTCCATCTTCTGCCAGCTGGATTCCCACAGCACACCAACTTCAGTCAAAAATTAGCTAAGTGCCCCAAACTTTTCTCCTACTTATTCATTAAATATGGAGCCAAATAGTTTGACTAGTATTATAATTGTCATTACCTTCTATCCGGACAAAATCCCCAAAGTGGTGAACCCGAGCTCTAGTCCACCAAACGTCTTTATTTGATGATTCAGATTATATTTAGGTCCATCGACCTACCCTAGTCACCTTTATTTGGTGATTCGGGCATCCAAAAATGAGAGCCGCTATCGGCCGCATACAACATTATGACTAAAAACGGTAAACGATACACCTCAATCTCAGAGACGCTAATCGCGTCACCCAAAAGCCGTTGCCATGAACAACGCACCCATTGTGTCCCGATTATTATTTTGTAAATTTAAGCAAAAGACACAGCACATCGTATCGACCCCTTAGAGCGAAACGCTCAGGCATGGCCAACGATGTCCCAAGACGTTGGGCCCGCAAACGGCCCAAGTCTTGAAATGGGAAGCTCACCGCGTCGTCCTCGCGCTAAATCGCATGACGACAGGCCTGAAATCATGGCTGAGGTGACAAAAATCCCAAAACTCGGGATTGGGAAACGGCAGCCGTCGGTAACCGACCAAAAGCTTTAGCCCGCGTCGTAAATAGACGATGGGACCTCCCCGAGATCATGGGACGATCCAGTAGGACTCCCTACCGACCAAGGAAATAGCAACCCCCTCGGCCGAAGCCTGAAAGAAGGATACCCGCTCCTCGCTCAAAGAAGTAGAGGAAGAAAATAAAAGACGGACAACCGAGGACCGTGCACTCGCCGGCCTCGAGCGAAATCCCCATAAATGAAAAAAGGGACAGCCGAGGACCGTGCACTCACCGGCCTCGGGTGAAATCCCCACAAATCAAAAGAGGGAAGTCGAGGACCACGCACTCGCCGGCTTCAAGCGATAAAAATAAAATCCCCACAAATCAAGCCACATATTTGGCTAAGTACATATCAAGCAAATACTATGCATTATGGACGAAGCAAGACCATACATGTGGATCAGACGAGTGCCCAGCGCCGTCCCTCATCTTAAGACGAGCGCCCAACACCGTCCCTCATCTTTAGACAGGCGCCAATGCCTTGTCCTTAAGCAAAGGACAGGCTTCATCAGCGCCGTCCCTCATCTTCAGACGATCACCCAACGCCATCCTTCATCATAGGACCGGCTTCGCCGTCCTTCATCATAGGACCGACTCCGCCGTCCCTCATCTTCAGACAAGCGTCCAAACGTCGTCCTTCATTTTCAAACGGGCTCATCGGCACCGTCATCCTCAGAGGACAGGCGCCTGGCGTCGCCCTTCATCTTCAGATGACCAGATTCATCAGCGCCGTCGTCCTCAGATAACGGCAGACCCCTCCGTCTCAACGTGATCCTTCATCTCAAGACCGGCCTCCTCAGCGCTGAGCGTCTTGAGCTAGAGAGCGGGCTCGCCATTCTCTTCCTGCATGACGACCATCGCCTTCATGCGACGAGCGGCTTCATCAGCATCCTCATCCTCAGATCACGGCAGACCCCTCAGTCTCAACGTGATCCTTCATCTCAAGGTCGGCCTCCTCAGTGCCGAGCGTCTTGAGCTAGCGAGCGGGCTCACCATTCCCTTCCTGGATGGCGACCCTCACCTTCATGAGATGAACGTCCTCCTCATCGCCATCATCCTCAAAATGAAGGGCATTCATCATCCTCAAAATGAACGGCCCATCGGCCTCAGCGTGATCATCTATCTCAAGACCGGCTTCCTCAACGCCGAGAGTCTTGAGCTTGTATGACGATAAACTTCATCATCGCCGTCGTCCTCAGATCACGAACGGCTCCTCAGCCTTGACTTGATCCTTTATCTCAAGGCCGGACTCCTCAGTGCCAAGAGCCTTGAGCTTACACAACGAAGTGCTTCATCAACGCCTTCGCCATCAAAGGACGAGCGCCCCAACGCCATCTTGAAACCAGGGTAAGAGCCTGGTCCTCACATGACGTACGGCTTCATCAAATCCATCATCATCAAGGGACGTACGACTAGTGTCGTCCTTCATCTTCAGACGACCGGCTTCATCAGCGCCGCCATCATCAAGGACAAGCGTCCAACGCCGCCCCTCATCTTCAGACCGACGTCAAAGCCTGGTCCTTCGTATGATGCACGGCTTCATCAACGCCATCGTCATCAAGGGACGTGCGTCCATCGCCGCCCTTCATCTTCAAGCCAGGGTCAGAGCCTGGTCCTTCATATGACGAACGGCTGGATCAACGCCGTCGTCATCAAAGGATGCACATCCAGTATCGTCTCTCATATGATGAACGGCTTCACCAGCACCATCGTCATCAAGGGACGTGTGTCCAACGCCGTCCTTCATCTTTAGGACCACGTCAAAACTTGGTCCTTCACTTGACGCATGACTTCATCAAACGTCAGCGTCGTCAAAAGACGAGCGTCCAACGCCGTCCTTCATTTTCAGACAGCTCATCAGTGTCGTCCTCATCTTCAGACCACCGTCAAAGCCCGATCCTTCATACGACGTGTGGTTTCATCAACGCCGTCATCATCAAGGGACGTGCGTCCAGCGTCGCCTTTATCTTCAAACCAGGGTCAGAGCTTGGTCCTTCACATGATGAACAACTTCATCAACACCGTCGTGATCATAGGACGTGCGTCCAGCGCCATCCAACTCTAGGCCAGCATTAAAGCCAAGTCTTTCATGTGACGAACGGCTTCACCAGCACTGTCGTCATCAGGGGACGGGCGTCCAATGTTGTCCTTCATCTTCAGGCATCCAACGCCATCCTTCATCAAAGGACGAGCATCATCAACGACGTCCTTCATCTTTAGGACAACTTCAAAACTTGGTCCTTCATATGACGATCGACTTCATCAGCGCCGTTGTCATCAGGGGACGAGCGTGCAGCGCTGTCCATCTTCAGATGAGCGCCCAACGCCATCCTCATCAGTGCCGTCCTCATCTCTAGAAGAGCAACCAGCGTCGCCCTTCATCTTCAGACGACCGGTTTCATCAGCACCGTTGTCCTCAGATCACGGCAGACCCCTCGGTCTCAACGTGATCCTTCATCTCAAGACCGGCCTCCTCAGCGCCGAGCGTCTTGAGCTAGTGATCGGGCTCACCATTACCTTCATGGATGGCGACCCTCACCTTCATACGAAGAGCGGCTTCATTACCGCCGTCGTCCTCAAATCACGACAGACCCCTCGGTCTCAACGTGATCCTTCATCTCGAGATCGGCCTCCTCAACACCGAGCGTCTTGAGATAGCGAGTGGGCTGGCCATTCCCTTCCTGGATGGAGACCATCGTCTTCATACGACGAGCAGCTTCATCAGCGTCGTTGTCCTCAGATCACGGCAGACCCCTCGGTCTCAATGTGATCCTTCATCTCAAGACTGGCCTCCTCAGCACCGAGCGTCTTGAGCTTGCAAGCGGGCTCGCCATTCCCTTCCTGGATGGAGACCCTCGCCTTCATATAGCGAGCGGCTTCATCAGCGCCGTCGTCCTCAGATCACGGCAGACCCCTCGGTCTCAACGTGATCCTTCATCTCAAGACCGGCCTCCTCAGCGCCGAGTGTCTTGAGCTAGCGAGCGGGCGCGCCATTCCCTTCCTGGATGGCGACCCTCGCCTTCATAAGACGAGCGGCTTCATCAGCGTTGTCGTCCTCAGATCACGGCAGACCCCTCGGTCTCAACGTGATCCTTCATCTCAAGACTGGCCTCCTCAGCGTCGAGCGTCTTGAGCTAGCGAGCGGGCTCGCCATTCCCTTCCTGGATGGCGACCCTCGCCTTCATACGACGAGCGGCTTCATCAGCGCCGTCGTCCTCAGATCACGGCAAACTCCTCGGTCTCAATGTGATCCTTCATCTCAAGACCGGCCTTCTCAGCGCCGAGCGTCTTGAGCTAGCGAGCGGGTTCGCCATTCCCTTCCTGGATGGAGACCCTCACCTTCATACGACGAGCGGCTTCATCAGCATCCTCATCCTCAGATCACGGCAGACCCCTCGGTCTCAACGTGATCCTTCATCCCAAGACCAGCCTCCTCAGCGCCGCACGTCTTGAGCCAGCGAGCGGACTCGCCATTCCATTCCTGGATGGCGACCCTCGCCTTCATGCGACGAATGGCTAATCCCCACTGTCGTCCTCATGTCCAGATAGACGTCCACCGCCTCGTCCTCAGATTCAGACAGGCATCCATCGCCTCGTCCTCATATTCGGACCGACTCATCAGAGCCGTCGTCCTCACCACCAGGCGGGCGTCCCCTCAGCAGACGGACACCACTGCAGCTCCACACCCAGGCCGGAGGGTTCACCCCCTTGGAGTTCATTTTGGGGAATCCAGTGTGCTCTTTTTCCCTCATTAGGATTTTTTCCCACAAGGTTTTTCCTAATGAGGTTTTTAACGAGGCATCGCCCCATTGTGAATCAAAAGGTGTCGACCCTCGGCCCCCTATTTGAAGACGTGCATTGCTTATTCCACTTCACCTCACTATATGAGCCTCGAGGAGTGGGGGACTGGGGGACTATATCGGCCTCCACATACATGAAAACATCCAGAAAGCAACAACAAGCAAGGACTACCAAGTGGTACCTCCGTCGGCCATGTCTCCATCGGCCAGAGGAAGGTCTGGGGGACTATATCGGCCTTCAGCACAAAGATAAACCACTTCAAAAATGCAACAAACACAAGCCCATGACAATGGTACCTCAACGTCTAACAGCCATGTAGTCACCCTTCGGCCAAGCCGAAGCGCAAAGCAGGACACACATCGTCCTCAATGTCAAGGACACACATCGTCCTAAAGATCAAGGGCACGTATCGTCCTCGAAGTCAAGGACACTCCCTGTCCTCAAGGCTAATGGCACACAATGTCTCCGGGACAACGACATTCATCGTCCATATCACGAACAAAACAAATGTGCCACGAACGTCCGCAACTGTACGATCCATCAGCCAAAGTCCAAAGCACAAAGCCATGGACGTCCTCAACCATGTGATCCACCGTCAGTCAGAATGACAAGGACACCACAGACGTCCACCCTCGGCCAAGCCAAAGCGCAGAGCAGGACTTTCTTCATCCACAAATCCAACGACAGCCAAAGAGAGGTCATATCACCTTCACGGCTGAGACCGCGCATCGTCCTAGAAATGAAGGACATCCATCGTCCTCGAAATGAAGGACATTCATCGTCCTTGAAATGAAGGGCATTCATCGTCCTCGAAATGAAGGGCATTCATCGTCCTCAAAATGAAGGACATTCATCGTCCTCGAAATGAAGGGCATTCATTGCCCTCGAAATGAAGGACAAGGCTGCCAACAATTATGGCACCGCCTCGGCCAGGAACACTAGAACTCCCAGGTAACCCTCCGTCGACCAAAGCGTCAGAACAACAAGGATCTACTCCCTTTCACTTCGTCTGCATCTCAGCTCAGAGAGTGGGGGACTCCTGATGGAGTATATGGGTCCAGACCCCATGACCCACATACTTAGAAGGCTAAGAGGAGCACAACTGTCATCCAGTGAGCCCTCTGTCGGCCAGATGGCACCCCATCGGCCGAAGAAGAGTCAACCCGAAATACGCTCCAGGAGCCAAGGAGAAGACTTGTCCTCCGTCGGCCAGTGCCCCCGTCGGCCGAGCGTCTCCGTCGGCCATGTCTCCATCGGCCGAGCGTCTCCGTCGACCGAGCGTCTCTGTCAGCCAGAAAGAACTTACAGAACTAGACTTCTAATGTAATAAGCCCAGTAGAGGCTCTATATTGTAATGGGCCTCCCAAGCCCAAGACTTAGGAGCCCAACCCACTTTTTTCCTATAAATACTCCCCTTGGGAGAAGTTGTAGGGGTTCAGAAATCATTAATACAACCCACTTCTCTCTCTAGCTCTCCCTTCTCTCTAGATAATTAATCTATCACCAATCTTTTTTTTGAAAACTTTTTATCCATGCCTTATCAAATCTTACAGTGACGTAGGAGCTAAATGTAACCGTTGATTTAGGTAAGCTAGTGACCTAACCTGAAGTCACTTCATTATCCTCACCTCCAAACCATCCCACTCGAGTAACAAAAATGATGTTTGTACCCACTCTTATACACACTTTTGTACCCACCTATGTTTGTGAAAGTTTTCTTTTTTGTCTGTGAACCGGGCTCACAGACAAAAAAAGCTTCACAAACATGATGGGTATAAGGTGGGTATAAGGGTAGGTACATCAAGAATTGTTTCTCAACTAATCCCTCTTAATGAGCACCAATCATCCCTCATTTTTTCTTTGAAAAAGGCACCAAATGGGTATGCACACTCTTGCCTGGAAGCCTCCATGAATTACATGTGTTGTTACGAATAGTTACCAAATGCACTCCAAGAATTATCTCCTACAAGTGTTGAAAAAAGTCCAAGCTCATAACTCTAGGTCTCAAAGACATGCAGAAAACATCATTAATATAAGTAACAAAAATCTTATGAGAAATTAAAGTAACATTGACCGAAGGGGAAGAATAGAGCAGTATGGAAACTTTTGTGTAGACTTTATTTATCGAGTCTTTTCCGTTTGGTCCTTACTTTGATCAATAATATTCCTACATCATAAAAACCCCATCAAGTAACAAAATTCAATGGGGAATGTTGAAACTAATTCAACACGAAAAAGTAAATAAATGTATAAAAACTATATGAGCACTGGATTTTTACGTGGAAACACAAAAGAGTGAAAACCACGAGCCTTTTCAGGCTAATGTCCAAGTCACTATCTTTTTATTAATCTCTCTTCACCATTTACATTGTACAAGTACGAGGCTCAAGTAGCCATCAATGGAGTTGGAAGCTTTCTAGAGAGAAGGGGTGGAGAAGAGGAGAAACATCCAAATACGGAGTAGCCATCGGTTTTTCAAAAACAGATTGTTCTTTCATGCAGACACAGAATTAGACTCACTTGCTGGAGGGAAAATTGATGCATAGCCATCAGACAAAGGAATTTCCCGAGTCTTATAACTAGCATTCAGTTGAGTGTAGTTAAATGAGATCTCAGTCTTAGAATTAGTGGGTAGAACTTTAAGAGTAGGAAAAAGCGTAAATTGCCAAATGGAGGAATAAGTAAGCTTGATAACTTTTCTCACACATAAACTTCTTGGAAAGTTTTGAGCATATATATATATATATATATATATATATATATATATATATATATATATATATATATATATATATATATATATATATACATATACATACAGATAAGAAATCAAATACTAACCTACAAACTCAATAATATGCATCTCTTTAAACTTCAATATGCAGTAAAAATAATGTAAAGATGCAGGGGTGGGGTCACATACAAACGAGTCCTCCCATTCAAATCATCTTTACATTATTTGTATTGCACATTAAAGTTCAAAGTGTTTCATATTATTCAAGCCATAAAATAAGAGTTTCATATTTACATTATTTGTATTGCATATTGAAATTCAAAGAGTACATCTTTACTTTATTTGTACTGCATATTGAAGTTCAAAGTGTTGCATATTATTGAGTTTGTAGGTTAGTAAGTTAAGCATGGTTTGTATGTGATCTCACCCCTATATATACATACATACAAACACACAAATATATATATATATATATATACATATGTGTGTGTGTGTGTGTATACATACATATATACACACACATATATATATATGTGTGTGTGTGTGTATATATATATATACATATATATATATATATGTATGTATGTATATACACACATATATACACATATGTATGTTCCTCATCAAGTCTACTTTATCCATACCAAATTTCAGCTCAAAATTCGATCAGGAAGGCAGTCAAATAATTCGTATGTTATATATATATCTATATATATATGTTAGAATATTATTTTATTGTGTTCAAATTAATTATAATTTAATTAATGAGTCTTTGTATTTTAATTAGATTAGCTGAGAGACAATTAGACCCATTTAATCTAGCTCTAATAAGCCCACACGCCTAAGCTGTTTGTTTCCTAATTAGAATAGGTAGTTCGGATATCTCTCCTATAAATATAGGTTGAGATGGCCGAATCTGCTCTCTAAGTCTCTACACATTCTATTCTGCATATTATTCTCTGTGGAGCCAGTAGATTAGAATTCTCTCTCAAGCTTAATCGTTCGAGTACCATGTATTGTTCTTCATCGAATCATCATTATGAATACACGTTATAAGTTGATGTTGAATTTCTCTTCCACTGTTTAAATTCTTATCAATATTCTTAGATTATTCGACTGTTGTATCTGGGCATATCTCACACAATTGGTATCAGAGCCTCGGCGCACTTCTGTTCTTAAGAATCCTCGAATTTTTCTGGAATTAATGTTATCAAGATCATAATTTTTGGTCAGATTAATTGTTAGATTTGTTATTGGAAACATACTATTTTAGAAGGCAACTGGAACTTGGAAAGCTACGGAAGAAGTATCCCAGTGAGATTTGAGTTACCATAATCTCGCATATCCGAAATCTTTAAGATTTCGCATATCCGAAATCTTTAGCTGCTCCAAGATCTTAAAATTAACAGGTCATCCGAAATTGCATCTGAGTTTCTAAATTCGGAAACCCAAAATCTCCCTTTCCGAAATTACAATCTCGGACACCCGAAATCTTTTTCCGAAATTACAATCTCGGACGCCCGAAATCTTTTTCCGAAATTACAATCTCGGACGCCCGAAATCTCTTTCCAAAAATACAATCTCGGGACGCCCGAAATCCTGATCCAAGTTTCTAATTTCATCCGAAATCTTCTTCCGAGATCTTCTTAAAGCAGTACCGAAGTTTTAATTTTATCAGAACAGTTCTCGCCTTTAAGATCAACAACAGTCATGGAAGCTTACACACTTGGAAGTGATTCAAGATCTCCTCTGCTTAGGAGATGAGAATTTGCTGTCTGGAAAGTCAGATTCTTGAATTTTATCAGAAGCAGGGAAAACGGAAAGAATATTCTTAAATCTCTAGAAGAAGGACCCACCGAGGTATGGGTTGTTGTTCCTGAAAATACCACATTTGACCCTCCCACTCCTGCACAAAGAAATCTGAAAAGAGAGGAAGACTACACTGAAGAAGAAAAACTCAGAGCCAAAGCCGATCTTCTTGCTGTCACTTATCTGCTTCAAGCCATCCCAAATGATCTGTTTATGCAAATCGATAGTCTTACCACTGCTAAAGACTTATGGGATGAGATTCATCAGATCATGCAAGGCACCGATGTTGAAATCATATCCAAAAGAGCTCACACATTGACTGCATATGACTCCTTTACTGCTAGATCTGATGAAGAACTGGAAGACAAATATCAACGCTTTCTGATGGTCCTTAACGAGATGAAAAAGATCAACATTCGGAAAACCAATATGGAAGTCAACCTTCGCTTCCTGAGATCTCTCAAACCCGAATGGAAGAAAACCGCCAAACGAATCAGACAAAATAAAGACCTAGATGAGCTAACAATTCACAATCTTTACGAATGTCTAGGAGAATTCTCTGAGGATATACGCGAAAAAGTCAACTCTTCAAAAGGAAAGAACATCGTTGATACACTTGCTCTCATATCAACTGAAAAGAAAAAGAAAGAAAAAATTGCCAAAATTTCCTTTAAAGTTGATTCATCTGATGATGAGAAGAACATGTCTAATTCTGACCCTGAGATCAATGAACTAAAGAAGGAGCTAGCCTTGTTAACAACCATGACAAGAAAGATAAACAAGAAGTTCACAAGATCCAGAAATCCAACCACTAATAACAAGCAAAGAACTTCTTCTTCAAACTATCCTGACAAGGCTAGCAGACCATCAGATAAAGCTGTGAGTAGTGATTCAATGAAGTGCTTCAAATGCGGGAAACCTAGTCACTTTGCCAAGGAGTGCTGATCTGCCAAGAAAAAGGACTTCAACTACTACATGCAAAAAGCTCAATTGGCCAAGCAAAGAGAGAAAGGAGTGGTCCTCATGGTTGAACACGACAGCTGGCTTGAGGATACTGATGAAAGTGAGCAAGAGAATCTGGCATTAATGGCGAAAGTGACAAACTCTGAAAGTGACAGTGACAACTCTGAAGAAGAATTCAATACCTCCTCATCTGCTGAGAATGAGGTAAGTAATCTAAACTCTAGTATTTCCAAACAATGTGAAAAGATAACTGAACTCATCTCTTCTCTAAAAAGAGAGAAAAACAAAGTTAAGAAACTTGAAGACAGACACATCAATAACACATCAAAATGTTCGCTCAAAAGATTCACACGATAGGGTCTCACACTATGGTTGAAGGAGCACATCAAAATGTTCGCTTAAAAGATTCACACGATAGGGTCTCACACTTAGAGTTAAAAGTAAGTAAATTTAAGAAATTTGTCTCTGACCTAACCAAGGAACGAGATGACTTTAAACGAGAACGTTCTGAAGCTGTTACTATATTTGACATGATTTACAATGAACGCAGTCATCTTTATGCTAAAATTAAGGAGTTAGAAGACACTTAAGCTAAGAGAGGACAATCTGAACAAACTGTCTTTTTGCTCAACAATAATCCTAGAGACACCAAGTTTTACAATCCAAAATCAGGTCTTGGTTTTAATAACCCTGAAAATTTGAAAAAGGTTAAACGCCCCCAATTGTATGACATCAAATATATGAATCTGGGGCTAACCAAACTTATGAAATTTACTGGTGAAGCTGAAACAATTGAGGAAGAGGAAGAGAAAAGGAAAACTAGGACTAAAGGTGAAGTTAATTACGATTACACTGCTTTAAATAACAGCTATGCTACTAGAGAAATTCCTTTATCTGATGACTACAAAACTTTCTTTCCTCCCGAGAATCAATCTGAATCAACGGAGAAAGAAGCATCTACTTCAAATGTTTCTGTTCCGCACATACCACCATTAATTAAGAAAATTGCTGATCTTCACAATGCTTTTGAAAAAGAACGGGAAATTTTTAAACTTGAAAACGAAGATCTTTTAAAGAAAATTGCTAAGCTAATAGATGATTCCTCTCAGGGCACTAAAACTCCTGAAACTTCTTCTTCTGATGAGACTAATAAGAAAAACCATTTTGAAAAGAAAAGAAACTCATCATCTGCTCCAAACACAGGGAAAGCGTTTTCTAAATCAAGTGCAGGAAGAATGACCTGGATTCCCAAGACAGCAATGAAGAAGGATACAAGACAAGAGCATTCAAAGAAGATCTCCAAAATCTTTAATTTTGTGGAAAAGTCTTGTAATAGATTTAGAAATTGTTTTCGTTCTAGTTCCTCTGCTAGTTCCTCTAGTTGTGTTTCAGACAATTCTTCTAAGTTTGCTTCTACTTCTTATTCTAAAATTGATTCCCATTCAAGTGATGTTTTTAAGCATGAAAATTTAAATTCCCCTTTCTCCAAAAGTGACATGTGTGATATGAATGGTTTAAATCAATGTGTTACTTTCTCTTCCTGTGGAGGTGCTTATATACACTATCCTTTAAAGGTGCATTCGGTTAAACACTTCAAAAGATTGACAAGAGAGAAAGTTTTCACAAGTCATAAACAATCTCAAACACAGTTCCAGAACTCAAGTGAAAAATTCCAAAAGATCAAACAAGTCTGGGTTCCTAAACAAAAACTAACCACTTCTGATTCGAATCTTTCTTCACATCAAAAGGATGGACCCGTCCTTAAATGGGTACCTAAGGCTGCTTAATTTTGCAGGTTAGTCATGTGTGGTACTTAGATTCAGGTTGCTCCACACACATGACTGGGAAGAAAGAGCTGTTGAGCAACTACGTTGATAAGTTTGGAGGGAAAGTTAGATTTGGAAACAGTGACTCTGCTCTTATCCTCGGATTTGGAGATATCTGCAACAGCAGGGTCACTATCAAAGACGTTTCTTATGTTACCGGTTTGACACACAACTTGTTTAACATTGGTCAATTTTGTGACAAGGGCATGAAAGTCATATTCCAAGCTAACAAGTGTTGTGTGAAGGATGATCAGGGGGTCACCATTCTGAGGTGTAGATGCAAATATGGTCTCTACACCATTGTGCTGAAAACTTTGTTTTTCAATATAGACGTC